TTGGGTTGTTATTGTTGTGTCAATATTGTGTATTATGCTTTTATGGTTTTAAATTGTATATTGTTGACTGTTGTACCTTTGTTGTAAACCGCGTTGAGTCTCCTGTTAGGCTGAGAAACTGTGGTATACAAGTAAAGTAAGTAAATAAATAAATAATTATTCGCCGATACATCACAGTCCTAGACACTTGGGAAGTGTCCAACATGTGATCCAATTGAACAGCCAGCAGAATGTCTGCTGTGGACTCACCTTGTGTTTCAAATAATCATCGTTGTTGTCATCGTCATCATCATCATCATCATCTATACCCCGCCACCATCTCCCATAAAGACTTGGGCGGCTTACAAAGCACACAATAGTGCCATACAACATATAAAATACAATATATCAACATTAAAACCAATAACACATTTAAAACCATGCATATAAAATAACAAGGGAAATAGAATCCTGGAGAATCACACCCAGTTGGTGAAGCTGGGAGATACCTGCTCGGACCCCTGACAATTGTCTTGTGGGCTCCCACAAGATTCCATTGTATCTCCCATGCTTTTCAGCATCTACATCAGTGGTTCTCAATCTGTGGGTGTTGCACTCCAGGCCAGGAAAGCCCTCTGGCTTTAAACACCATACAGCTGGGTAGAAATGCAATCCGTTATTGAAGATATTTAAAAAGCAGTAGTAGTAGTAAAAAAAACAAACAAAAAAAACCCTCTTTAAAAGAATAGGTAAATCCAATTACGTAGAAAGATAAGCTGGAACCAATATTCCAAGAAATTATTCCATCAAAGTTCATGAAAAACAAAAGCAAAAACTTCTTTGGTAAAACTCAAGAATTGGAAACATGAATCAAAGGTACTTAACACATGAATCTATCCAAACCAAGGCTCCCAAGGAACAGGAAAGTTGTCTTGATTTGATTCCAAATGATGCTTCATCTGACTACAGATCCTGTACTTGGCACTTTTATCTCCTAATTACGCTATGTCCTAAGCGGCCAGAAATAGGTTTCGTTTTAGCCTTGAATCCCTTATCATTCTTTCTTTGAGCCTGGCAGAACGCCTAAAAGACTGGTTTGCTTTTCTATTCTAATAACATCTCATCTATCTACTGGCTCATTAATTTCTGCAGCTGGCCCAGGTGTCAAGCTATTCTCAGACTCCAAATCATGGGAATTCTCTGGTAGCAATTCAGGGAGCACACCATTATCTCCAAACCCTTCCGGAACATTCTAATCAGAAAATACACTTTGAACAGGGATCTCCTGGTCATTCTCTGCATCAATAGCCACCTCATCGTTGGAAACACTATTACCTACATGAACCTCATTGTCATTGCCACATGCACAATGGAGGCCCTTCTTGCAGCAACACCAGAAGCACTCCAAGTGGCCAGATACTGGTCAAAGGACATTTAACCAACTACCAAACTCACAAGTTTTGTATTTTGTCTGTTTCTTTGCTTTGTTTTGTTAGAAATGTAATATAATGGACTGGTTGCTCTGACACGACAAATAAATACCTCATTGTCATCATTCCCAACATCCAAAGTGCCCTGATTCTTAAACACAATCACAGGCTGAACTCCAATAGTGGGTCACCAAGTGTTTTGGGCTACAATTCCCAGAAATCTCAGCCAGTTTACCAGCTGTTAGGATTTCTGGAAGTTGAAGGCTAAAACATCTGGTGACCCACAGGTTAAGAACCATTGCTCTACATGAAACTGTTGGGTGAGGTCACCCAACTTTGGAGTTCGGTGTCGTAAGTACACAGATGACACTCAGCTCTACTACTCCTTTCCACCGAATTCCAAGGAAGCCTCCCAGATCATGAGCCATGATGGACTGGATGAGAACTAACAAGCTGAACCTTAATCCAGACAAGACAGAGGTCCTCCTGGTCAGTTGTGAGGCTAATCGAGGTATTGGGTGGCAACCTGTGCTTGACGGGGTTACACTCCCCCTGAAGACACAGGTCTGCAGATTGGGGGTCCTCCTGGAATCAGCACTGATGCTTTATGCTCAGGTGTCAGTGGTGGCCAGGAGCGCCTTTGGACAGTTAAAGCTTGTGCACCAACTGCAACCGTACCTCGCGAAGTCAGACATGACCACTGTGGTCCATGCCATGGTTACATCCAGATTGGATTATTGCAATGCACTCTATGTGGGGCTGCCTTTGAAGACAGCCCAGAAACTGCAATTGGTACAAAGGTCGGCGGCTAGTAGACTTGTGCATTTGATTCGGAAATACCCTTGATTCGGATCTAGTTTGGATGTTTAGCACTTTTGACACAAGTTCTGAAATGCTTGCTTGGAATCTGCAAAGAGGGCTAAAGTAAGTAAACAATAGTATAAATCTGTGCTAAATTGTAGTTATTTGGTTGAGTGTCAAGGGGAAGCATATTAATTGGATGTCAGGAGAGTTTGGATTGTGCCTTTCTTCCTGGAAGAAGGGGAGCAGTCTAGACCAGGCATGGGCAAACTTCGGCCCTCTTGGTGTTTTGGACTTCAACTCCCACAATTCCTAACAGCCAGTACTGGCTGTTAGGAATTGTGGGAGTTGAAGTCCAAAACACCAAGAGGGCTGAAGTTTGCCCATGTCTGGTCTAGATGTTCCTTGATGGTGTCTGTACTATGGTTTCTGTTCCTGGGTTATAAATGCCATTTCCTAATTGGTTGTGCCATTAAAACATGGTGAAAGTTTATTACACTGCAAAAACTTTTGTCTTTGGTCAAGCAGCACATTTGGCTTTGTCGAGTCTCCACTAATTTAACAGTTTCCGCCACAAAAAAAACCCAAAGTTTCTGGAGTAGAACAACTACTTTCAAAGTAAAGGCCACACAATGAAACAATAAATAACACTTTCAATCCAGGAACAGATTTTTTTATTATTAAAAATGTTTTTATAAAAACTTTGAAAATTCACCAAAAATCAATGGATAAGTCAAACATTCTGAAATTTGGTGAACTAACAGTGGTAAATGTGGTCTACCACTGTAAAAGTTTCATCAGGATACTCAAAAAATGAGGGAGAGAGAAGCCTCCCAATTTTCCCCGCTGACAATGTTTTCCTTAATGTGCATGCGCAACCACCATTAATGAGGTACTTATAAATTCAGAAGTTTTGTAAAGTTTTGAAATTTTTACCCCCAAAATTCAGAAAGACCACAGTAACTAAAGTTGGCTTTAAGCCCATCTTTAAATCTCTTTTCCTGCCCAACATTAACCCCCCCACACAAAAAAAAAAGTCTACAAAACAAAGATTTAAGCAAACCAACTTTATATATTCCTTAATATATAGTGCAGACTCTGCTATTAGTGAAGTTCTTTCCACACGTCATGCATTTCTACAGCGTCTCACCTATGCGAGCAATTTGATGACTGGTGTATGCTTTCTTAGTAGTGAAGCTCTTGCTGCATTCTATGCAATTGATTTTTTTTAAATATATATTTGCATTTTACATACATTAACTGTTACAGTGTAAACAGAACATGAAAGGCCTGATCACCAAGGCCTGAACAAGTATCTTTTCCTTTGCCATATATTTATGAATCAACCGTTAACCAAATGTCATAACCAAAATTCCTGACCAACAAGAGTGTATTGTTTTCCTTTTTCATTCTCTAATACATATTTAATAAAAAACAACCAGTATAAATCAAAATGGAATCTATTAGTTTCCCCTGAACACCCTTATTTCCATTGATAATTTATCATTTAAAGCTACATTCCATCGCTCCCCATACCATCATTTCAGTGTGAGATTAGTTACTATTTTCCAATTCCTTGTGATTATAATTCTTGCAACTGTAAAATATTAACAAATTCTTTTCCATTTCTAAATTCAACCTTGTGGCATCCATTAGTAATGCTAACCTAGCATCCGGGGTGATGTTTAGTCCTACAATGCTTTTACCTAACCAGTCCTTTTAACAATTATATAGCTGTTGCCTCTCAAACCCATTCAGGATACTTTGTTCTTCTAACTTATTAAACTTGCCCATCGAATTATTTATTTATTATTTAGGGCATTTATATCTTGTCTTACTTCAACCTCTGGAACACCCTCTCCAAAGACCTTAGACAGGCCCCTACATTGGCAGTCTTCAGAAAGAACTTGAAGACCTGGCTGTTCCGATGTGCCTTTCCAGAATAGGAATCTCCAATAACAAGTCCCAGAAGCACTTTCGTAGAATTAAGATTGTCGCACATTGCACACTGCACTTGCCCTATCATCCCCACATGCCACCTGTGACATCAGCACTTTTAATCCTGTACCCATTACTCTGGCCTGGCCCAGTTTTACAGTGTTTGATGTATTGTTTATTGCATGTTGTTAATATTGCTTTAACTGTTTTTAATTTGCTTTAGGTTTTGTATTGTTGTGTTGTGTTTGAGGCCTTGGCCTTTGTAAGCCGCATCGAGTCCTTCGGGAGATGCTAGCAGGGTACAAATAAAGATAATAATAATAATAATAATAATAATAATAATATTTGTTCCCATTCCTTCCAAGAAAGGGCAGTTTCCGCCTCCACTAATTTTTTATTCTTAAGTTTACTTCTCAGGTCTTCTGGAATTTTTTCCAGTAAAACTATACAGGAACACAAATCCAAGCAAGTCCTTTTTAGCTTTTTCCAAAATCTAAGCCTTTATATGTGTTCTGCACCACATGAGTTCTGTTTTTTAAAAAAATTATAATACAATTTATTGAAAAAATGAACACAAAAACAGTCCACAAAACAAAGCTTTAAGCAAGCCAACTATATATATTCCTTAATATATAGTGCAGACTCTGTTATTAGTGAAGTTCCTTCCACACTCCATGCATTGCTAAAGCTTCTCACTTATGTGAGCAATTGATGTCTGGTGTATGCCTTCCTAGTAATGAAGCTCTTGCTGCATTCTATACATTTGTATGGTTGTTTTCCTGTGTGGGTCCTTCGATGGGAACACAAATTATCACTGCGACTGAAGCTCTTTTCACATTCCATGCATTTCTATGGCTTTTCTCCTGTGTGGATCCTTAAATGGGAACGCAAACGTCCATGACTACTGAAGCTCTTTCCACATTCCATGCATTTATGTGGCTTCTCCCGTGTGTGGGTCCTTTGATGACGGCGCAGGTGTACTCTCTCTCTGAAGCTCTTTCCACATTCCATGCATTTTTGTGGCTTCTCCCGTGTGTGGGTCCTTTGATGACAGCGCAGGTGTACTCTCTCTCTGAAGCTCTTTCCACATTCTATGCATTTGTGTGGCTTCTCTCCTGTGTGGGTTCTTAGATGGGAACGCAAATTTCTATTATTACGGAAGCTCTTTCCACATTCCATGCATTTGTATGGCTTTTCTCCTGTGTGGATCCTTAAATGTGAACGGTAACGTCCATCTTCCCGGAAGCTCTTTCCACATTCCATGCATTTATATGGCTTCTCCCCCGTGTGGGTCCTTTGATGACTACGCAGGGTTCCTCTGTCCCTGTAGCTCTTTCCACATTCTATGCATTTGTAAGGCTTCTCTCCTGTGTGGATCCTTAGATGGGAATGCAAACTTTCTCTGAAACGGAAACTCTTTCCACATTCCATGCATTTATATGGCTTCTCTCCTGTGTGGATCCTTAGATGTAAATGCAAACTTTCTCTGATACGGAAGCTCTTTCCACACTCCATGCATTTATATGGCTTCTCTCCTGTGTGGAGCCTTCTATGGGCAGTAAAGCTTACTCTGTATTGGAAGCTCTTTCCACATTCTGTGCATTTGTAACGTTTCTCCCCTGTGTGGGTTCCTTGATGGCAACGCAGATATGCATTATCACTAAAACTCTTCCCACATTCTGCACATTCATATGGCCTCTCCCCTGTGTGGGTCCTTTGATGACGGCGCAGGTTGTCACTCCGAGAGAAGCTCTTCCCACAGTCCATGCATTTATGTGGCTTCTCCGCTGTGTGGGTCTTTTGATGGTCACGCAGCCTGTCAATCCGAATGAAGCTCTTCCCACATTCCATGCATTTATGTGGTCTCTCCCCTGTGTGGGTCTTTAGATGGTCACTCATCTTGTTAGAGTATTTAAAGCTCTTTCCACATTCTATGCATTTATATGGTTTCTCCCCTGTGTGGGTTCTTTGATGGTTAAGCAGACCTGTACTGGTTGAGAAGTTGTCTCCACATTCGATGCATTTATATGGTTTCTCCCCTGTGTGGGTTCTTTTATGGATACGCAGACCTCCAGCGTTAGAGAAGCTCTTTTCACATTCTGTGCATTTATATGGTTTCTCCCCTGTGTGGGTTCTTTGATGTAAATTAAGTTTCTTTTTATAAGAGAAACTCTTTCCACATTCTGTGCATTTATATGGTTTCTCCTCTGTGTGAGTTTCTTGATGTATAGGAAGAATAGTTTTCCGACGTAAGCTCTTTGCACGTTCCATACCACTGCAAAATGAATGTATGAGATCTGAATATTCAGTCAGAATTCATATATTAAGTGAGAATTTCACAAATATGAACAACTCAAAGAACACAACATTTCTGGTTCCCAGTCTTTTGTTGTTCTATTTTCTAAACCACTATCTTTACAATGCAATGTTTCTTTCTCCTTTGATTCTACAGGATGATGGCTTGTGGGTTTTTATGCTCAATTATTTCCTTGTTGCTTTTATAGCTGTGTGCCTTGAAATCCTTTTGGAAATACTGCAACTCTAGGAGAAGTGTCACAGAGTTTTCTTCAGAAGATTTATTCAGTGGGTATCTGTTGGACAATAAGAGGCGACATCTAAATAGTGGTTGAACACAGAAAGATTTCAGTCGGACTTCAATATTGATCCCTCAAAAGTATAGCAAGGCCTGGAGTTGAGAGGAGAAGACTGATCCAACTGGGAAGCTCTCCTTGTGGGATATCCCTATTGGTTTCTTACCAATAATGCTTTTTGGTTTGCTATCAATTAAGACCCAACTGGTCAAAAGAATATTTTGCTTCTACAAAGTGGTAGTTTTTTGGAAATAATTGCAAGATAAGCTCAATAATAAACAAATATGCAACTGGAAAAATAAGGGTAAGCTCACATTATCTGTTCACTAATTGATAAAAGCACCTGTGGCTAGAACTGTTGGGGCACATGTTATGAATAACTTTTTAAACACTTTAAAGCATAGGCTTCTTTTATTGCAATTTTCTGTCTTGGTTTTAACTGAGGTGCCCCTGGAGTCAATCCCCACAGTGATACAAGTTCTTTGGCCTTTAAGAACCTGAACGAGTAGGATGGTGCCCCCACCCTCACAGCCCCCCATTTTCCCCCAAAAGCTTATCTCCAGAGAGCTCTCCCAGTGCTCAAAAACAATGTGTCAGGGGGTGGTGGTGGGAAGGATTTTCCTCCTTCTCTCTCCACCTGCCGATACTTTGTTTTTGAGCACCAGGAGAGCTCTGTGACAGGCCTACACTTCTGGCAGGCTCCACAGGTAGGCATTGCTGCCAGGCTCCTCTGGTTTACCCACCAGGTAAATCCCAGGGTTTGAGGTGGGTGTGTGGCCTTGTTCCTGGGAGGAACTGAGTTTAAATAATCATTATTGGGAAAATTAGCAGTGGTTACAGCACATACTCTTCCTCAATTGTTATTTTTAGTTAGTACAATTTCCCAGGAGCCCCCGGTGGCGCAGTAGGTTAAACCCCTGTGCCAGCAGAACTGAAGACCAACAGGTCGCGGGTTCGAATCCAGAGAGAGGCGGATGAGCTCCCTCTATCAGCTCCAGCTCCTCATGCGGGGACATGAGAGAAGCCTCCCACAAGGATGATAAAAAACATCAAATCATCTGGGCGTCCCCTGGGCAACGTCCTTGCAGACGGCCAATTCTCTCACACCAGAAGCGACTTGCAGTTTCTCAAGTCGCTCCTGACGCGACAAAAAAAAAAAAAAAAAGGAAAAGGAAAATTTAAGAAATGGCTAAAATATATTGAGAATTCTTTTGCAAAAGGAAAATCTTTGAAGTTTGTTAAGGGCTCTAAATATGCTCACTCTTCAGGAGGAGGCTGGTAATACCAAATTTGGAACTATATTATTATGCATTTCAAATAGTTCAACTAAGGACATTTTTCACGAATAACAATTCTGTTGTATGGGTACAAATTGAAAAAAGGAAAGCTTCAAAAGATATTATGCTATGGCAAGTATGTTTGTTGAAAAAAGTAAAGAAAAGTTAGTCAACCCTTTTACTGAGGACTTGATTCGTGTCTGGGTCCTAATACATGAAAGTTCTTAATACTAGATGAATGATGGGGGGGAATCTGGATCTCTTGACAGGGGCAAATTGAGAAACTGCAAGTTACTTCTGGTGTGAGAGAATTGGCCGTGTGCAAGGAAGTTGCCGAGGGGACGCCCAGATGTTGGATGTTTTTACTATCCATGTGGGAGGTTTCTCTCATGTCCCTGCATGGGGAGCTGGAGCTGACAGAGGTAGCTCAACCTGCTCTCCCTGGATTTCTGCTGGCACAAGGGTTTAACCCATTGCACCACTGGGGGATCCTCTCAGAACAGGTGCTGAGACAAGACAATTGTATTGTTTTGAATATATCACATGGTTACTCTGGGAAACAACCCAGGTGAGACCATTATGTCATCAATGGCACATAATGGTCTCGTTTTAACTATAATTTATTGTTTTGTTTTTATTGGTTATTTTATTTAAATAGCTGTTTTCGGTTCATTACTGTAAGTTGTTATTTTATGTTACTTGGTGTTGTGTATTGATTTTTGCAAATTGTGTTGTATTTTATGTTCTGTGTTGCACCTTTGTTGTGCTGTCTGTAAGCCGCACTGAGTTGTAGTTGTTATTATTAGTATTAATTGCACTGTCACCGTCTTGGCTCAGAGGGATGTAAGAAGCCCTAGATGTGTGAATTTTTCAAGCTGTAGAGCCATGTTCCAGTAGCTTTCTCTCCTGATGTTTGGCCAGCATCTCTGGTAGGCATCCTCAGAGGTTTGTGGGAGAGAACGCTGCTGGAACATGACCATACAGCCTGAAAAACTCACAGCAACCCAGTTCTGGCCATGAAAGTCTTCAACAGCTGTAGATATGTCCTTTGGGCTCCTGCACAGAATGTACAGGCCAGGCATGGGCAACATGTCTAACCTAGGGGCCACATGTTGATCCGGGAGGGAGGGTAGTTCTTCCCAAGTCCCTTCCCTCTCCTTCCTCTTTTCTGTCTGAGGCGGAAAGTGAAGGAAAGGTCAGGATGAAATGGTGGACAGGAGAGAAAAAAGCGTATCCATGACCCCATATTGCCTACTCCTGATATAGAATCCTAGAGCTGGAAGAGACCCCCAAGGGCCATCCAGTTTAACCCCCTTCCATGGAGGAAGGCACAATCAAAGCATCCCCGATAGACAGCCTCTGTGGAAAAGCTTCCTGAGAAGGAGACTCCAACACACTCCCAGGCAGTCTATGCCCGTCTCCAGGAAGTTCTTCCTAATCTTTTCAGTCAAATCTCTTTCCCTGCCATATGAAACCATTGCTCTCTTGTGGCCTGGTCTCTAGAATAGAAGAAAGCCAGTTTTCCCTGTCCTCCTTAATGGGACACCCTTTTACATCTGGAAACATGGTTCTCGTGTTCCCTCACTATCTTCTCTTCTCCCAGCTAAACATCCCCCAGGAAGAAAGGAGGAAGGAATGAAGGGTGGAAGAGAATGGAGGGAGGGAGGGAGTAAAGAAAAAGAGGGAGAGGGAAAAAGGGAGGAAAGAGGGAAGGAAGGACAAAAGGGTGGAAGGAAAGGAAGGAGAATGAGGGAGGTAAGGAATGGAGGGAGGGGGGAAAGAGGAAAGAAAGAGAATAGGATAGGATGATGTGAGAGAGGAGGGTCTGAGAAAAGAGCCCAAGGAGCCACATTTGACCACCGGGCCTGGTTTTGCCCATCTGAACTCAAGAACGGAAAACGGAATGTTGGAGGACAGGAAAAGAGATTTAAAGATGGGCTTAAAGCCAACCTTTAAAACTGTGGCATAGACACTGAGAACTGGGGAGCCCTGGCCCTTGAGCACTCTAACTGGAGGTCAGCTGTGACCAGCAGTGCTATAGAATTTGAAGGAGCACGAACCGAGGGCGAAAGAAACATGCCAAGAGGAAGGCACATCAAGCCAACCCCAAATGGGACCACCTTCAAACCAATGCCCTCACTGCGGGTCAAGAATAGGGCTCCACAGCCACCTACGTACCTACCACCAGGACACTGCACTTGAGAGGACAATCTTACAATCTTACTCGGACAACGAGGGTTCGCGTAAGTAAGTAAGTCCCTGGTATAGACTATGTGTGGAATGCTAAAAGTATTATTTCCTAATGGTTACATTTATGGTCCTCAGAGGGAGTTAGAAACATGTCTTCTAGTTCTAGTCCTAAGGGTTGCAATAGGCTTCTGAAACTGCTCCAATTCAAGCATTAAAAGTCCCCACATCTAAGAGCACCAGGATGGCTTGGGTTTGGTGTCTTCTGCTGCTGCTTTGCACTGAGGGTGCTCTATTCTGTGCATTTGATGCCCTTGAGCTGATGCAATACAGTATCTGGAATACTGTGTCCAATTCTGGGCACCACAATCGAAAGGAGATGTAGACATGCTAAAATGTTTCCAGAGGAGAGTGACCAAAATGATCAAGGGTCTGGAGAACAAGCCCTATGAGGAGTGGCTTAAAGAGCTGGGCATGTTTAGCCTGAAGAAGAGAAGTCTGAGAGGAGACATGATGGCCATGGATCAAGATGTGAGGGGAAGTCACAATGAGAATGGAGCAAGCTTGTTTGCTGCTGCCCTGGAAACTAGGATGCGGAACAATGGCTTCAAACTACAAGAAAGGAGATTTCACCTAAACATTAGGAAGAACTTCCTGTGAGAGCTGTTCAACTGTGGAACTCTCTGCCTGGAGTGTGGTGGAGGCTCCTTCTTTGGGGCTTTTAAAGCAGAGGTTGGGTGGCTCTGTCGGGGGGTGCTTTGAATGCGATTTTCCTGCTTCTTGGCAGGGAGTCGGGACTGGATGGCCCACAAGGTCTCTTCCAACTCTAGCATTCTATTTATATGTGTATCTATGGAAGAGAGGAGGGGCAAAAGCACCCCGTTTTCCAGTGGGTTAAACCACTGAGCTAAACTTGTTGACTAAATGGTCGCAGGTTTGAATCTGGGGAGCGGTGTGAGCTTCCGCTGTCAGCCCCAGCTTCTGCCAACCTAGCAGTTCAAAAACATGCAAATGTGAGATCAATAGGTACCACTCTGGTGGGAAGGTAACAGTGTGCCATGCAGTCATGCTGGCCACATGACCTTGGAGGTGTCTACAGACAACGGCAGCTCTTCGGCTTAGAAATGGAGATGAATAATAATCCCGACTTGACCTAACCCTACAAAAATGCCCTTGGAAGCACTTTATTTTTTACCTTGTAGTGCAATCAACCCTATCTTGTCCCTCGGATTCCCTCTCCAGATACATTACACTGTTCTCTCACCCAGTGTTTTTAAATTTTTAATTTATTGAAACATGTTTCTGCCTACTGTGATTAATTTTTGTGTTTTAAATGTTGTGATTTTATATTGCTGATGTGTTATTGATACTGGTTCTTGTATTTTATTTTATTTATATTTTACTGCTGTGTTTTGTTGTATATTGCTTTACTGTATTGCTGGGCTCATGTAAGCTGCCTTGAGTCCCCTTGGGGAGATGGTGGCGGGGTATAAATAATAATAATTATTATTATTAAACTTTATTTGTACCCCGCTAGCACCTCCTGAAGGACTTGATGCGGCTTACAAAGGCCAAGGCCTCAACACACAGTATAACAATACAAAACCTAAGGCAAATTAAAAACAATTAAAGCACTATAACAACAAGCGATAAACAATACACTAAGACACAATTAAACTGGGCCGGGCCAGAGAAATGGGTACAGGATTAAAAGTGCTGATGTGACAGGTGGTATATAAGGCTTATAGGGCAAATAAAGTATTATTATTATTATTATCATCATCATCATCATCATCATCATCATCATCATCATCATCATCATTATTATTATTATTATTATTATAGATGAGCACCAACCCCCAGAGTTGGACACAACTGGACTTAATGTCAGGGGAAAACCTTTACCTTTACTTACCTTTTTATTAAAACTGTTGGGCTTAGCTTCATGTTAGCCGCCCCGAGTCCCTGTGGGGAGATGGTGGCAGGGTATAAATAAAGTTTAAGTTAAGTTTTAAATGATAGAGAGGAGGGTCTGAGAAAAGAGCCCAAAGGGCCACATCTGGCCCCCAGGCTTGGGTTTGCCCATACTTGGTATAGATTATGTGGGTGCTTAAATGATAAAAAATTAATTCTCTGCTGACTGTTCATTGCCCATGGAGGTATGTGGAGTTAAAATTTACATCATCTAGTTCTAGTCCTAAGGGTTGCCAGAAAGGCCTTCTGAATCTGCTCCAAGTCCCCACATCGAAGAGCAATAGGGTGGCCTTGGTTTGGAGCTTTCTGCTTCTTGTTTGCTATGAGGATGCTCTATTCTGGGCCAGAGTGAAGAGAGAGGGGGGCAGAAGACAGTTCCACCTTGTCTCCTGTGCTATTCTTATAATGTAATATAAATACATGT